AGCAATATAGCATGGATATTTAATTTTTTATAATATTATAAACATGTTGTGAATGTTTTTTTCAAAGAAAAGCACTTGGTTATTTTTTAAAAAATCTTCAAAAATTAGTTAAAAAGTGATTTTCTTTTAACATGTAAATCAAATACATACTTATCATAGATTATAACGGAGATCAGAGATGGTGAAAAAAAACAATATTTTGAAGGGAAAAAAACTAACTCTATCAATCGATTGTGAAGGCGTAAACTTACTTAGGTGATGAGAAACAGCTGGCGATAATAATGACTGGTGCTCTGATGATCTATGAAGAAAGATAGACAATTAAGCAAACCAAAAGAGACATGAATGCTACGATGATCTCATATTTAGGGACAACATTTGTAAAAATTTTAGTTTTGGTAAAGCAAAATTTTGTCCAAATATTGAGCTCCTTGTTTTCACCTTACGATTTCCTCTCTCTTCTCCTTAATACCCACTTTTTAGAAGCTAATCGAAAGTAAAATAAGAAACCTCTTCATTAACTATAAAAAGTTAAATTAAAAATAAAATAATATGACAATAAATTACATGAATTAATTATTAATTTGATACAATATATTCAAACCGTCAAATTTGAAAATATAGAAACTTTTCAACATTAATAAATAATGAAATTTCTTTTCTTTTGTACTTCGATCTTTATGTATCTGTAGATTATATAATGAAAAACCATTTAATGATATTTTTGTATAATCATGATTAAGGAGTTTTAAAAATATATTAAAATTTAATGTGAAACGTTTAATATGATTAATATATATTAATTATTTATGAACTCTTTGAGTATATTATGCAGCAAAACCATATTTACAATGAGTTAAATTCTTATTTAGATATCTTAAGATATTCTCTTTGAATATTGAAAGGAGTAATAATGATAATGTAATGGCACAAGGCACACTAGATCATTATCCACATTTGCCAGTCACAGGATGCGTAATTGCTTCTGCATTAATGGGTTGGATGGAGCATATGCGAGTTCTTGTCTTCATTCAATCATTACTCTTTTGTCATGGGAACCCTTTGTGGGAACTAGGAACACAAAGGCCAAATCATATTATAAGATTCGCACCATCATTATTATTAAGATTTATTGGTTTTTGTTAACTATTGTATGTCATTTTTTCTTCAAAGAATTATCATTTTTTTAAATCTGAAGATTTTCTATATAAAATAATGTCTCTTTTAAGTATGGGTTTAAAATTTTATAAAATAATATATTAACATACATTAAAAATATATAAGTAAGTGTATTTTTAAGGGTATTTGGTTATTTTTTCTAAAATAATTATAATTTCTAAAGATATCTCATTTCTTTATTAGGATTTTTAAAATACAATATGCACTTTATTGACTGCTTTTAATATAAAGTTTGATTACTTTTATACGCGCATATAATTCATTTTTTAAAATCACATAATTTTTAATAGAAAGAATCTTGAGTTGGATAGAATTATTTAGTGATAAAGCTTTAAATTATTTGGATGATAATAAAAATATAAATGTTTAAAATTATTAATTTTGAAAAATTTTAAAAAACAGTAGTGCAATTAAAAAATTATTGTTTTTAAGAATTTGTAAACCTTTTATGTATAACAGTTGTTGAAAAATTTAAATAATAACTACATGATTAAGAATTTTTTAAAAATTAATTAAATAGCTAATTTAGTAAAAATTGATTTGATTTATTGTAAAAAAAAATCCATGCATGCACTGTCATAAAATGAGAAAAATATATGATTACAATTTTTAAAAATAAATATTTAAATTTATAATATAAAGATTGAAATGTAAAATGATAATAGTAAATTTAAAAATCATCACTTCAAAAACATATTATACCAATAACATCTCATCTACTTTTATGCTTTTTTTTTTTTTTTTGGTATTGTATATTTTAGTTTAGATTAAGAAATCCATCTGAAAATAGTATGGCTATAGCATGGTTCCCTCATAGCTCCTCTGTACTAAGTTTTGAAACTTTGTGGATTGTAACTCAAAACGCTCTTTAACAACATTCTAAACCCTAAACTCAGCACAGGAAGAAGAAGAATCAAACAACATTTACAAGGAAGAATTGTAGTGTTTCAAAACGCTATGCTTCTTTGTACCCAAACTGCTCTTACCAGACAGCCACACCCCAAAATATTAGTGGTTCATAGAATAGAAACACAACTTGTCGTATGAGTAGCCCACCTAGTTGGCTGTACTGATAAAAAAATTTAATAAATAAAAAAAATGTTATTTCATGTGACAAAAGAAAAGGGATTAAAATCTTGGGGTCAATAATTTAAAAGTTAAAACTTAAGAAAAATTGCAACAATCGCTTCAAGTTGAACTCTAATTAAAAAGCTCAAATTTAATTTAAACAATTACATTATTTAATAAATTTTTTATAAAATATAAAATTAATCAGTCTAAGATTCTTGTGAAACTAACAAATTTTAAAATGTTTTATACAAAAATAAAATTAATAAATATTTTATTACATTGCTTTATTTTAACATATAATATATTTGTTAAAATATAAATAAAAATACTAATTTTGAATAATATAGTTACAAATATCTAAATTATATAAAATTTATATAAAAATAATATAAAATAATTCAATAGTTAAAATAATTTATAAATACAATTTATGTGATTGAAATTATAAATTATAAATTAAATTATTTAATAAAAAAATATCAACTTATACAAAAAATGAGTATAACTTTTTTTTTATAGGCAAAAAAAATGAGTATAACTTATACATGAATATATATCACATACCAATTGCAAGATAGGATAACAAATCATACAATGTTGAGTATGACCGCAGTTAGCTTAATATATACATACTTACGTTTTGCATCTATAACCTCCTTTTAATTGCTTAAAAAAAGTGCACACTTATCACTTATAAACACTTGATCAATAGCATGTTTGGTATCATTTTTTTTTTTTTTTTCTGTTTGAAGGTGTCATTTTAACGTTTTGAAGAGCAGTGTTTAGATGCTGAATGCACATTTAGATGATATGAACACCAAACTAAACATGCACGTTCAGTAAATGCAATAAAACTAAGCTTTTGCAATAACATGAAGATTCAAACGTAGAATAAAAAAACATGGATACATCTACTTCAGTGGCCGATCCATTTTGACGAGCAATATATAAATGGTGTTGGTGTGTGTGCATGTACTGTGTAAACCCAATGCCCATTAGGCCCAATGTGCAATCCCTCCATTAAATACCCAACCCAAGGAACACTCTAGAAGTGTTGATATGGACCCCATAAAAACAAAGAAGTGTTGACCAAAAACAAAAGGATCACTTGAGAAGTGAAACTATCTTGGCTAGGCCCTTTGAATTTATACAGATGATAATTTATGTCCTCATTGTGTTGACAAAAAAAATGTCCTCATTGCAAGATGGTGCTGAAAAGTATCACAGCATCATGCATGCTTCGAGAGATTGGGTTAGGAAGCTTCAACATGACTGGACACTTTTATTTTATTTTTGATGACATGGTCAATATGGAAAAACTGGAATGGTCTTGCTTTTGTTCTGAATGACCTCATGCTTTTAATTCCTTTGCTTTGAATGGACAATTTCAGACCTGACAATTTCCTACTCAAGGTGTTATTTGTAAGAGCAGTGTTCAAGTTATGTGCAGGTGACACCAAAATGTGTTATACGAATTTTGGTAGCGTGACCCTAATTTTATTTAGGATAAGAAAACATTAAAATTAAATTCAATAGTTATGTGAATAGGACTTAGGTAATCAATCCCATGTCAGTATACTCAAAATGACCACATCTGGTATCTAATTCCGATTGGCATGATTGTGAATAAGTTGCAATTGAAGTAAGGTCGTAATTTCGTATAGCTATTCATTTAATTTAAAATGGCATGAAAATCTTACTAAATTTAAAATTAGTCACAAATTTTGTCATTTACTTATTTTAAGAATCTTATTAAGTATTAGTCAAAAAATTAATAAAAACAAATATTTTATTATAAATTATGATGGAGCATATTGGTAATATTATTTTATAAAACAATTTTTTTTATAAATTTTTTAACCAGCACCTTAAGAATATTTATTGTTATTTTTTAATAACTCTTAAAATCATTTATTAGCATTTATTTTTTTTAAAAATAGGATCAGTGACTAATTCATCAATTTTAAAAAATTGATATTTTAAACAAATTTTTTATACATTAAATCGTAATCAATTTATAGATATGTTTTTTAAGAGTTAAATTTTTGTCTTTTATCAATCTTTTATATCGTCAATTAATAAAAATATACATTGTAGATATAATTTTTATATTGATTATTACAGGAAATAATTTTTTTTGTTGATATAACAATTAGAAAATAAGTAGTTGTATAAAAAATCTTTATATTATTAGTGTGTGTATATATATATATCAATTAATAGTTATTGTATTAAATTTAGATAATTTAAATGTCCATGATTATATAGGTTAATGATAAAAAAAATTATATTATAAAAAACATATTATATATTAAATTAAATAAAAAATTAATAAAAAATTATTTTATCTTACTTGTTTTAAGTTTGATTTCTATTTTGTTTCCCACAGAAAGTTATCACATTCGATTTAAACATTATTGTTTCTGACAAAGAATTAGATATATAATCTAGACAAAAAGATAAATTATGTAAAATATTGAATAAGAAATTAATTTTTATTAAAAATTATAAAATTTAGTAGTATTTTTTAAATTGAATTTTGATTATTTAAAACAAATAATAGTTAAATATAATTAGCTTTAAAATTGTGTAAAATTGATGTATTTAATTTATTTTATGAAGAGTATTAATATAATGATTGACTCAATTACTAAAATTGGCAATTACTTATACAAAAAAAAAAAATGGCAATTAGTTTGTTAACTTTAACACCAAAATACTATATGGAAAAAAAAAATCTTTCCTTGGTGACGGAGAAAGTGTAAGGTAAAAAATGGCGACATGGAGTGAGACATTATCCCCGTAACGAGGAGCAGCAGCGAAAGACATTGAATGGGAAGCACCCATAAGAGTGGGAATAGAGTGTAACTATGTTGTCATATGGTCGTCACATTCTAAATCCTTGTGGCTACCGAAATCTCGCTTTCTCAAGTTGGAGTCCCTTCCATTCCATTTATTTGACTCCAACAACGCCATTCTTCAAATCTCGTTCTCATTGTTCTTCAATCCTTAAAACAATGGGTTCTCTCTCTGCCTTCAACCAACCTATCCAATACCCTTCTGCTCGCAGAGATGACTCCATCGTTGACGATTTCCACGGCATCAACATTTCCGACCCTTACCGATGGTACGCTCCAAGGCATTTACATCTGTCGTTTCCGTTAAAGTTAACATTAAGCAGTGTTTGGTTTTGTTAGGCTTGAAAATTCGGATGCAGAAGAAGTGAAAGAGTTTGTGCAGAAACAGGTGGCGTTGACGGATTCGGTGTTGCAGAGATGCGAATGCAGGGGAAAACTGGGAAACACAATAACGAAGCTGTTCGATCATCCTCGCTATAACGCTCCTTTCAGAAGAGGGAATAAGTACTTTTACTTCCACAACACGGGTCTTCAGCCACAGAGTGTGCTTTACGTGCAGGACAGTTTGGAGGGTGAAGCGCAGGTTTTGCTTGATCCCAATGCTCTCAGTGAAGACGGCACCGTTTCACTCAACACGCTTTCGGTGAGCAAGGATGCTAAGTTCTTGGCCTATGGACTCAGCTCCAGCGGTAGCGATTGGGTTACAATAAAGTTGCTGCGTATTCAGGATAAACGTGTTCAGCCTGATACCTTATCTTGGGTCAGTATCACTATCAGATTCAGAGATTGAATGTTGAATTTTTGCGTTGAAATCAAAGTAATGGTAATGGTGTGGTTCAGGTGAAGTTTTCCTCTATTAGTTGGACGCATGATAGCAAAGGTTTCTTTTATAGCCGCTATCCAGCACCCAAGTATGTCATCTGTTCTCATGTTCTTTTTGCTGAATCAAATGATGTCTCCTTGTTTGAAATTTTGAGTTGATTACTTTGCTTTGCTTACTTTAAGGGATGGAGAAGTAGCGGATGCTGGGACTGAGACAAATGCAAACCTTCATCATAAGCTCTATTATCATTTTGTGGGTACCCATCAATCTGAAGATATTCTGTGCTGGAGAGATCCTGAGAACCCGAAATATTTGTTTGGAGGAAGTGTTACTGAGGACGGCAAGGTACCTTTTTTGTCGTTGCTTTAGAATGAGAAGTTTAGAACTATGTAATATTATCTATATATTCTTAACCTGTGAATATACGATGATAGCATGTGCTACCAATGTAATGTCGTCGTTATTTTCAAGGCTTTAGTGACATCAGTATCATTGGCGCTTCACTAATTTTTTACAAGGCATCCATTTTTTAATATTTCAATATGGATTTTGTTTGTTAACCTGGATCCCTATTGTATTATTTAACATTATTTCCATTTTTGCATGATTTAAGTGGCTGAGGGTTATAATTAATTTTCCACCCCATTATTGTGTTAAAAATATTTTGCGAAGTAAAACTAGTCATATCTTATCATAAAGACCTGGCTCTTTAAACTTTCAATATTCCAATTATTTCAGAAAAAGGCTTAAGCTATTCATTGTTGCGCAGTTTATTTTAATATCTAGTTTCTAATATTTCCAGGAGAAAATATATTCATTAATAGCGTCAGAACGATTCAGAATAAACTATAGTTCTTTTTTTCTTTCTTGCAATTTACACTTGATCTAATATTTGTAGGAAATCATACTCCATATATTTGTTGAAACTATGGTTAAATTCATAGCATTGCAAGTCAGACATGTAGTAGGCTAGACATAATTTTATTTTCCTTTGTCAAATGGGGTTATTGTGACAAAGCATGCAAATAATTTGATGTCAACGATTTGAATTTCCCTACAAGGTCGACTGTTTTTGTTGATGTGCAGTATGTTCTTCTGTATATTGAAGAAGGGTGTGATCCAGTTAACAAACTTTACTACTTCAACTTATCTGAACTTCCAAATGGGCTAGAAGGTTTTCGGAATGAAAATTCTCTCCTCCCATTTGTCGAACTTATTGATAAATTTGATGCACAGTATCAAGCCATTGCAAATGATGACACAGTGTTTACATTCTTAACTAATAAAGATGCTCCAAAATATAAACTAGTCCGTGTAGATTTGAAAGAACCAAGTGCTTGGACTGATGTTATTCAAGAATCCGGTAAAGATGTACTTGAGTCAGCATGTGCTGTAAATGGTAACCAATTAATCGTCAGCTACTTGAGCGATGTGAAATATGTTCTGCAAGTAAGAGACTTGGAAACAGGTTCTTTGCAACATCAATTACCAATTGACATTGGCACAGTCAATGAGATTTCTGCACGCCGTGAAGATACCATGGTTTTCATCGGCTTTACAAGCTTTTTGACTCCTGGTATCATATATCAGTGCGACCTAGGAACACAGATTCCTGATATGAAGATATTTCGTGAGATTGTAGTACCCGACTTTGATCGCACTGAGTTTCATGTCAATCAGGTAAAAAAAAAAAAAAAAACCTCACTGATGTTGATAAGTTATCATCTTATTTTTAAACTTCACATGGTTAGTTTGTCTCTTTCAAATTTGTTACTACTTAATCTCTATGGGTATGGCTATTGCTGTCTCTTAGAATCTGTGTTGCTGTTTTGTTTGTTTTATTCTTTAATGTAACTTGTACATTACAGGTTTTTGTGCCTAGTAAAGATGGTACAAAGATTCCAATGTTCATTGTTGCCAAAAAGGATATTGCTTTGGATGGTTCGCACCCTTGTCTGTTGTATGGATATGGTGGTTTTAACATCAGTCTTACACCAGTTTTTAGTGTCAGTCGCATTGTACTCACAAGACATTTAGGTGCTGTTTTCTGCATAGCAAATATTCGTGGTGGTGGAGAATATGGGGAGGAATGGCATAAAGCAGGTTCCCTTGCAAATAAGCAAAACTGCGTTGATGACTTCATTTCAGCTGCTGAATACCTTGTATCTGCTGGTTACACCCAACCCAGCAAGTTATGTATTGAAGGTGGAAGCAATGGTGGACTTCTTGTTGGTGCTTGCATAAATCAGGTATGATTCATTTGCCATTCATTTCCAAGTTGCACCTGGGATTCTTTGGGTGGTGTTTTTCATGTCTCATCCTTTGTAATGTGCCCCATTATCGAGTTTGCCATGTTTATGATCACCCCGCCCTAATTTTTTAACAGAGACCTGATCTTTTTGGGTGTGCACTGGCTCATGTTGGTGTTATGGATATGCTACGATTCCACAAATTTACCATAGGTTTGTCTCGGTCTGTTTGCTATACTAAATTGTTATTTTGTCATAGTGTATCATATATTGATTTAGTTTTGTTATTCAGGTCATGCTTGGACCTCAGATTATGGTTGTTCAGACAAGGAGGAAGAGTTTCATTGGCTAATCAAGTGAGTATGGTTAAACATATCTTGAAATATAAGGACGAGCCTGTATGTTTTATAATTGCATACAATGTAATTTCTGCAATTATGTTATTTATTTTAGTGATTTGTTAAAAGGTGCCAGTAAGTAATGGTGCTGTGAGGAATATTGATAAAGGTCGAGTGAAAAGGTTTTGGACGATTAAAATGAATTGATAGTTTGGCAGGATGCTTTTGTTAAAGCGTAGTGTGTGGATATGGATCGAGGATAGATATCTCTTTAGATACATAATAGACTTATGAATAGGTAAATATTTGTATTCAACCAAAATCACATTCATTCTTTCTTAGATACGCTTCGGACAAGTACTTTGGAACTGCCATGTGATGCTATCACCCGTCACCATCTTTAATCCTTGGTTAATATTTTGAATCAATGTTTGTTATGTTTTACAATTTTGCTGGCTGAAGTGTTTGGTTCCATTAGATCAAAATTATCACCCCTTGTCTTTTGGCTAAATTAAGACAACTAGCCCTTTATAATCAGTGATTTGGTCATTTCTGCACATGCACCTTCTGTTATCATTGGTCGGGTTGTAGCTGAGAATTTTCATTCTCACTTTGATTTGGAACTGTTTTGCATATAAGATTATCTAGATAAATGTATTGATTTGACTTGGGGACTATTTGTGTGTTATATAATGTTCTCTAATATGCTGCTTTAGGTACTCACCATTGCATAATGTCCGGAGACCTTGGGAACAGCATCCTAATAAGTCAGTTCAGTACCCATCGACAATGCTGTTGACGGCTGATCACGATGATCGTGTTGTGCCATTGCATTCATTAAAGCTATTGGCGGTTAGTCTACTTCTTTTGTAACTAAACATATTGATTGGAGAAACTTTCAACTTTGAATTATTGAATTATTTTGCAAAGTACAAAATAAGTTGTTAATTTACTAACTACTGCAGTTATCAAAGAACTATTTGCATACTGAAAATTTTGGTTGCTGCTTCCCTCTCATCCATGCTCTTTAACAAACATGTACTTCAAATTATTTTCAGACCATGCAGTATGTCCTGGTTACTAGCCTTGATGAAAGTCCGCAGAGGAACCCTATAATTGGTCGGATTGAATGCAAGGCTGGTCATGGAGCAGGGCGTCCAACTCAGAAAATGGTAACAGATCAGGATCTACTTTTTTTTTTTTTTTCTCCAACTTCCCCTCCGTATTGTGTTATAGTTATTAAATAAGTTGTTGGCCACAGATTGATGAAGCCGCTGACCGGTACAGTTTCATGGCCAAGATGGTAGACGCCCATTGGATTGAATAGATTTGAGCTTTACCCAAACCCATGATATTGGAACGGGAGAACATAATGCTTTTTGTGAGAGTAAGGAGCTTTTCATTTCTTCCTTTCAACCCTTCACAAGAAAGGAACTGCATTTGGTGGTCATACAGATTTATTTGTCTGGGGAGGCCAACATACATAACGGGTCATAGAGCCGTAGAAAATTAGAACGCAAGAGTTGATGTTTTAATCGTATTAATTTTGTTGTCACTCTTTTTTATCATTATATTATGTTGCAAAAAATGTTACTGTATATGCTCCTTTGTGTTATTCGAATGGAGAAAGCTTCCTTCGGTTGAAAGTTACAATTGAAAAACAGGGCCATCTAAGAGTTCGTCAGTGGTTCGATTTGGAAAAATCCCTCGAATTGAACCTATACATGCCCCGAGTCTGTAGATGGATCTGGATTCTCTACAGTGTTGGCAGAAAGCAGAATCATGTCTCGCTTAAGCCCTTAATTTTGCTTAAGCGATTTTAATTTAGCTTAAGCCCTTCCAAGTGAAAACAATTAAACCTAAGCGAAAATAGATTAGAGAGACATGTATTTCAAGCACTCTTTTCGCTTAAACGGAACCTAAATCGCTTAAACTATTATAAATTCGCTTAAACCTTGACAAATGATTTTAATTAATATTAAGTGAATTTCAGGCAGAGAGCAATGATTCAGACATAGAAAATGGCTTAAGCGAATTTGAATTGGCTTAAGCGAATAGTTGCAGGGCTTGGGCCTAAATTTGAATTTCTCAGCGAATACAAATTCGCTTAAGCGAATATGTGCGCTTAAGCGAATATATCAAAATTTGAAAAAATTATGCAGATATAGACAACATGTAACAAAATGGCTTAAGCGAAAATTAAGTGGCTTAAGCGAATAGTAGCAAGGCTTGAGCCCAAAATTGAATTCCCCAGCATATTAAGATTAGCTTAAGCGATTGCATGAGCTTAAGCGAATAAATAAGAAAATGCAAACATTTTGCAGAAACAAACATGCAAATGGGGCCAAATACATTGAATTACATCAGTTTTTGAATTTACATCTTCCACTAAAAATAATTTATAAATACAAATTTAGCTTAGGAACAAAACAACTTTTGCAAATTGCATCATCAAATTTGATCAAGGATTGAAGTATTGGTATCATCAAGTTGTTCCTACAAAATTAAAAGAGATATAAGAAGACACATAATGAACAAGAATGGATGGAAGTTGAATAGTCTTACTTTCAACAAATCTTTGAAACTTAATTGATTGACTAATGTTTGGAGGGGATCATAATATGGAGGTGCTGAACAATGTACTTGAAATGAATCACAGAGCATTGGTTGATATTCCTTAAACATTTAAGGACAGTGAAATTTATGATATGGTTACAACAAAGAAGTTAAAATAAATGCATTAATGGACAGGGTTTAGAAGAATAGGAGAGATTTCAGTAGAAGAGGTGTTTGTGGGTGTATTCATGATATTGTGGAAACTCTTACTCACTTTATTTATAATGACTATCACACTTATCCCCTCTTTCAACAGAGACTTTAGGCTCTGAGTAAATACATGAGTTTGTGGCATTGTTACAGACAGGGGCGACTGTGAATACAGTCTCTCCGGTAGGTGCCTGTCAGCTGTCCAGCCGATAAACTCTGAGGATATGAGCATCAAATAATTTGAAAGCTCTGATACCATTACTGGCCGGGAGCCTCTTATATCATAACCCAGAAAGAAACTATCAGCACTTTCTAATACTTTGAGCAAACCCTTATGCATTTTTCTTATACTTATGCTGATCATCCTTCCTGAATTATAATAAAGAGGACCATAACAATAGGATCTTTTACCTAAAAATTTTCTGATGCACAGGATCCATTAAAATAGCAAGTGCAGAGCATACTTTTTTCTAGTTAGGGGCTAGAAGATAGTCATTATAAACAAAGTTTTCAGAGAGTGAAACTTAGAAACAACTCATGATATATGAAACACACAAGTTTTATTTCAGTTCGATCTGCCTTCAAATGGCAAGGACTCCTCCTTATATAGAGGATGAACAGCAGACATAATAATTATAGTCGATAGAGTTGGATAAGATTCCAATCTTTTTACAAAGTAACTTTGTGCGAACATACAAAAGAAAAGCTTTAAGTACATCTGAGTCACACAAAAAACATAATACATAAAGACACTTTATTACATAAAGGTACTTTATCTGAGATTCTTCAGTCTTTGAAGATAGACTCGTGACAGGTTAGGATCAGTACTAGAGCTGTAACTGAAGGAATTATTTGGATCTTGTGAGTCCATGAATGTATCAGTATGCGATGATCCTTCATCTCTAATTATGACATGACTAGTTGTTTCTCAATTTCCAAAAGTAATATTGGAACAAATTACTGATGAATTTACCTGTTGAATTTTGTCTCACATGGTTGGATTATCATTATCAGGAGGGCAGATTATGTCCATTGCTTTTAACTTAGAACATGTAGATTTAACTTTATACATTTCTTCTTGAGCTCCATTTTCAACATGGAGATGAATATTTAAATCTGCCTAGTTATAAGGTGATCTGTCTGGTTGAGATATTTCCTAAAGATTTGGATAAGTATTCCAAACCTTGACTTGATTCTGAATATAAAGTAATTTTGTAACGGGATGTTCAAAATAAGGTCTGTGAATGATTACCACCGTTACATACTTTGGAGTCTCAGTTAGGGACAGATTAATTTCTTTCCATATGCTGAGTCTTTCCATTTCAGTCTGAACATCTTTTTTTCCAGTTATGAATAGGTTGATACCAAGATAGGAACTTCCATATCAATGTTGATTGATTTCGAAGATCACTGAGAAACTCAAACATACTGAATGTGGGAAAAACTATGGGATAATAAAATAAAAGAGTGACACACCAGAGATACTATACATCTTCTTCAGTTAAGGGAAAATCCATTAATAAAGCAAAAATGTTTAGGTATGGTGCATCAGGTTGAAACCAGGTATGTTTTGGTTTAGCACCATGGTTATGAAGGGAAAGAACCAAATAATAGAACATATGATTTTTGGCAAAATCTTTAATGTATTCCACTGTAATGACTCCATCATTTCTCATGTAAGGAGGAAACATTGAGAGATGATTGTGTCTAGTACTAGTACTAGTACTAGTTTCAGCAATATTGAGTGGGAAGATTAATGGATATGTGTTTAGAGAAGTAACAATGACAATAGGCTTTTTTGGTCTGGATAAAAGATCAAGAACAACATTTTTTTCTCTTTTGATGTGTTTTACAGTAAAATCATACTTGGAGAACCAATTTTTTAGTCTAAGAACCTGATGATCAGGTGGCATTTTGTTCTTGAAATCAAGCAGTGCAGGAAAAGCAGAGTTGTCCATTTGAACCTCAAAATTATGACCTCTGAGATAGAAGTCAAATTTTTGGATACCATTTTTGACTGGTAGAGCTTCTTTATAGGTTGTGTGATAATGCTTTTCAGCTTCTTTGAATTGTCCACTGGCATGTCCACAATAAGCCTTTTTTCCATTAATTTCTTCAAGTAGAACAGCTCCCTAATAATGATCACTAGCATCTGTCTGCAAAATTCTTTTTCCATCACCAGGAATCTTTAATGGTGGAGGATTCTGTGCTATCTTTTTCAGATGATGAACAACTTCAGTCTGTTCATCGCTCCATGGTGGAGGATTTTTTTCTCAATAACTTTGACAGAGGACTTGTGTATTTGGCTGCATTAGGAATAAAATCCCTAATATAATTCAGCACTCTGAGAAATTGTTGGATTTGTTTGACTGTGAAATTTTCATCAGGAAAATTCAGAAGTTCTTCTACAATGTGAGGTTGTGGTAGATAATTTTCCTGGGAAAAATGCATTCCCAAAAAGTCTATCTGGGTTTGGGCTAACTGAATCTTTTTTTTCTGACAACGTAATCCCATAAGCGTTGGCAAGGTTAAAAAACTTGTTTAAAAGGGCTTTATGAGATTCTGTATCTTTTGAGAATAGTAATACATCATCTATATAGATGAGTATACTATCAAGAATAGGTTCAAAGATTCTGGACAAGGCTTTCTGGAAAAGAGAAGGTGCTACTTTTAGACCGAATGGAAGGACTTTCCATTGATACTGAGCATTTGGAATACAGAAAGTAGTTTTGTATCGATCAGAGAGATCAACACCGAGTTGCCAAAAACCTGATTTTAGATCAAACTTTGAAAAGATCATGGCATCTTTAATAAGTGTATGAAGGGAGGAGGTTTTTAGAATAAGAAACTTATCATCTTTGAGAAAATGATTAAGAGGCTTGTAATCAATTACTAACCTCTTCTTTCCTTTGATCCTTTCAGATCTTTTCTCAACATAGAATGTCTGGCATGCCCATTCAGATTTGGTTGGTTCAATTAATCCTTGACGGGGAAGCTCAGCGCATTCTTGTCTAGCCATCTAAAGGTCACTTGGACTCATTCCAGGATGTGTGGCTTTAGTAGGGTTGATATCTTCATTGAGTTTGAAGGGAAGCTTTATAAAGAATTTTGGATTATTCCAAATTGGATTGGGATGAGAGAAATTCTCATGTCCATTTGTACACAAGGTTTTCAGCTTCTCCTTAAGTTCAGAATATTCTGCTGGACTTTCTTCAAGAGAATAAAGTTTCAATACATCTGTGTAGAGTTTGAAATTTCTTTTGAATTTTATTCCTCTGGGAAGGATTTGAAGTTTGTCCGTTAGGCAGTAAGCATCCATTCTGAGCAGAATATCTTTGTTAGGAAGATGAGTTCCTATAGGCTTAATCCAAATTATGCAGTCTGGGAACAACTTAATTCCAATGGGCATTCTGAAAATTAAGTGCGTATTGAAGACCTTTCCATCAGCTGCTACAAAACTAGTTGTATACTAAGTCCAACATTCTTTTGGAAGAATATCTGGATTCATCATGGTTCTTTGTGCTCTAGTGTCCATATAGGTTATGACTCTGATTGGTGTAGCATATTTATTGATGAGAACTTGAACCTCCACACAAGGTTGTGATGGAGTTTGGAGGACATTATTTACTTCTCGAGTAAAATAAAGAGGAATGTATTCTTCTTCTTTGCTTGATGAATCTGAAGAATCATCAGACGATTCATGAATAGCAAAGACAGTATCCTGGTCTGCTTCTTGTTCAGAATATTCAGATTCAATATCCCCTTCAATAGGTTCTAATGAATTTACCAAGTTTTGAGCTTTGGCATCTTTGTTAGGACATTTCTTAGCAAAGTATCCTTTTTTCCCGCAGATAAAACATCTGGTTCCTTTGTTTTTTCCTTTCTTAT